AGTCCAGTTAAAAGCATGAGTGGGAACTGCCACCTCTCGTGCACCTACAGAAGAAGGTTTTCATTCATGCTGCTCCTTAATGCTTCGGGCAGAAAATGAGTGAAAACAGCACGATATAAATTTATTCCCAGTGTGCTTATATGGAGCCAATGTTTCCATTAATAGCTGATATAAATAATAGTCTATTTTTAAACTACTACTTAAAATTAAAATTTATCCCCCTGCCACCAATTAGTCAGTGAGAACAGAAAAGCCTGCAGCCTGTAAGTTCTTGCAGAAGCACCGCACTCAATCTGGCGCGGAAATCCAGCGGCCAAGAAACCCTGAGTTCTATTGAACAACTGTGAGCCAGAAGAGGCAGGCTGAACGCTCAGGATTCCACGAGATTCGGACTCCAGAAGAGAGCACCAGAATCTCCATACTGTTGCCCACAGCCTGACAGAAAAGTGCCATTGAGTCCAACCCCTGCTCAGTTCGGACTCCAAGTTCAAGCATCCCCGACAGTCTGTCCAGCCTCCAACCCACCTCTGCTCATTCTTCTGAGAGCATGGAACAGTTTTCAGTTTCTTGCTCTATTTTCTAGTAGGAAGCTTAATGCAAAAAAATCTCAGCAGGTCTGCACAGGGCGCCTTTTACACCCTGCCAATTTCAAGGTATTTTTAGCTGCTGTGTGTGAGAGCACATGCACACGGCTGCGCATCATTCTATTCTATAAATTACGCCTCCACTGTAATTATACCAGGCCATGTTGCCTTGGAGTGGTCTGAGTGCCTTCCTCAGACGCTAAATTAAAAGGGAATGCCGGCCTTCTGAACCACATAAAGAATTCAGAATCCTAAAATATATTTGAATGAAATGCAAAAATAATTCTCTCGCGCGTAAACCTAGCCCAAAAAATAACACAAAGCTTCGCCTGAAGATGAGCACACACAACACTCGTCTTCAGGTTCTGAGCTCTTAGATAAGCTCTTGTGCCCCGGGGTTCCCGGCGAAGAGCGGGATGTCTCTCTGGGCTTGCCCAAGAACTGCCCACCTGCGCAATGGCGGGCAGGGCCGGGCTCCTGCTGAGGAATGGGTTGGCCAGGGGAACAGAAGGCGCCTGCAGGGCCACTTGGTGTCAGGTCTCTCGGCCCCCTGCTGCCCTGGCGTGTAAAGGGGGCTTCCAGATTTCAAAAGCTCTGCTAAAGCATGCCTACCCTTGCTGCACAGTAAGCAGGCCTGCCTAACTCGCTTCAGCATCTTCAGCATTTCTTCTACCTCTGCTGGACACGAAAAGAGAAGGCCCAGCTCTGGCCCACTGATAATCCCATTCATTCAGCACCTCTGCTGGCCTCTGAGAATTTGCCATCCATTTCCACACAAAGCTAGGAACTTGACTGTCTTTCAAAGGAAGACAAAATTTGTGAAATCACAGAATTCCAAAGCCGATAAAGCCTTCTGTTGCCTGCTTGTTATGTCCTCTCGTGGAATTGCTGCATCTGCAGGGTCTTGTGCATAGACATCACTCCCTTGAATCAGAAATTCCACAGACGGAGCTGGAAAAATCCCTGGTTCCAAGCTTCTTTGACTGACACTGAGAAGCATCCTTGGCTTCTCTCAGGGCCTGTGCCCAAAGGCATTCAGAAGCCCCAGGATCAGACACCAAAGCAGCATCCTGTTTGCCATTATGTGGAGAATTTGGGCAACATTCCTCTGCCTTGGGTGGAGGGAGGCTTCCCGCTTAATCATGGCAACCCTAATCTTCTGCTCTCTGGGCTGAGGTTTGTTCTCCTGCCTGAAGTGCAAAAAAAGGGCCACTCAGCCAGAGGCCGCTGAAGCTACGGCCAAGGCCATCGGCTAGCAATTAGGCCGTCTCCAAGAGGCGACCACATTGCCCGGTGTCTGCCTGGCCCAACGCCCACTCTGCTTTGACACCAGCCCCCCCCCCCCAGCTGCTTCATTTGCTAAAACGGACAGAAGGGAAGCAGCTCCACCCAAACTGTCCACAGAGGTCGGAAGCAAACCGAGCACCAACATCCTGCAGGCGCAGCTGGCCTCGGGTCTCGACCGCTGCCCGCTGCACCAGCTACAGCCATCGGAAGCTCAGAGGCTCAGTCCAAAGCTGCACTGTTTGCTTTGGCTCTGTGCCCCTTTTATTCAAAATATTATCTAAAGCCACTCCTTGCCATTCCAACAATTCAAAAAACAACTGGAAGGAAGAGACCCTGGGGAAGCTGACAGGCAGGCCACCCGGTGGCACTGCTGCCATTGGCGTGTGGACCTGGCAGCACCTATTCACTCAGGCAGCAGGGCGGGGCAGGCCTGCTCCACAGGTGCCGCACCTGGGGGCATCAGTTGCCGGGGAAGCCACCCTCTCCCCATGAAAGAACCCCTTTCCTCTGAGCACAATGGTGATTCTGTGCCCCCACACACGCCGGAGGGCAGCTCGGCTTAGCCTTGCCAGGGTGGCAAGGGGGCAACCCACCTGGGGCTCTGCAGGAAGGCACTTTGGGAACAGAAACAGAGTGGGTTGGAAGGGGTCTCTCGGGCCATCTAGTCTGACCCCTGGCTTCAGCTGGCTCTGCTCCTGCAATCCCCAACATGTTGTTGTCCAATCTTTCCTTGAACACCCTCAGTGACGGGGCCTCAGCACCTCTCGTGGAAGCCCACTCCATATCTAAGGGGTCCGAACCATCAGGACGTACTTCCTGACATCCAGCCTGGGGCCTGGTTCCTTGAGCTTTGCCCCACTGGAACATGTTCTGCCCTCCACTGCAGGGATGAACAGCTCCCGGCCCCCCTCACAAGACATTCCCTCACTAAAAGATCCCCTCAGCCCCCTCTTCCCCAGGCTGAAAAGGCCCGGTTCCCTCTCTCTCCTCATAGGCATCCCTCCCAGCGCGGCCACCATTCCTGTGACCCTCCGCTGAACTGATTCCAGCCTATCTATGCCTCTCCCATAATGTGGAGCCCAGAACTGTGTGCAGGACTCCAGCTGTGGGCGCACCAGGGCCATGTAAAGCAGTGCCAGCACCGCCCTCGATCTGGGAGCCACGCTTCTGGCTATGCAGCCAAGGGTGGCGTTCGCCCTCTTGGCCACCGCATCACACGGCTGGCTCATATTCAGCCTGCAGTCGACCAGCACCCCGAGGTCCCTTTCACAAGTGCTGCTCTCCAGCCGCTTGCCCCCCTTCCTATAATCGAAACATTGGCCCTGAGTGATGGAGCAGAGAAAGAAGATGCCAACTGGGGACGTTTGTGGAACTGGCGCACGTGTGACGACAGGACACCTGTGGACTGCCATGGGCGAGGCGGTGTGCTGTTAGACTGGGAGTTGTACACCTGCATTTTAGTCCTGTTCTGCCAGGAAGCTGGGCCCGTCATGGACTCTTAACCTGGCCTACCCCATGGGGCTGCTGTGGAGATAAAATGCAGAGAAGGATGATGTGTGCTGCCTTGGGCTTACTGAAGGAAAGTCAGGATATAAATTAAAGAAAGAAACAAAAAGATTCCTGAAAACTGGGGAAACAGTGACTGCTTCAGAGCAACAGCCTCAGTGCTTGAGGGGCCTGGTGCTGCAAGCCAGCTGAATGAGAGTGATGAGGCAGGCGTGCCGACTGCAGCAGAGGCGGTGTCTGGAAGCAGCAGTTTCTCTGCAGGAGAGGTGGAAAGGCAGGCGCCACTGCTGCCCCGGGTGCGGGAGAAGTTCCTGGGCTGTGCCTCAGGCTGGAGCAGAGCTGCGGCTGCAGGCCCAGCCATGCCGCCAAGGGCCCCGCAGCATGAGGGTTCCCAGGCCCTCTGTCCTTCCCCAGATAGCTGTCACAGCCAACGAGCAACTCCCAGATGACGACCTCGGTTTCCTCTTGGCATCTGGTCTCAGCAGCTCTTGTGGTTGGGACAGGGAGTGTGAGGCAGCTGCTCTTTCCACTGGAAATCAGGGTGGCTAGCGAGAATCCTAAATTTAAAATGTCCTTAGAATTTCTCTGCAGCAGCAGCATCTTGGTCAGGATGTGACCAAAGGCGAACCCACTCAGAGGAGAGCAGGCTTGTACTGCTGCCGGGACTGTGGCGTGCTTTTGGTCTGCACTCTGCCCGGAAGCACGGAAGCACCTCACACAGCTCCGGCCGCTTGGCAGTGGCATTTCTTCACTTAGCGAAAGCTGTACTTCAAGCTTTTATTTTTAAAACCCCCCAGAAACAGCAGCCCATAGAAGACCTGCAACTTGCTGTGTTGCGCCACACCAGAACGTGGGAGGGACCGGCCACACGAGGGGCAAGGCTGCCCGCCCGGGCACACACAGCTCTATCCGGCCCGAGCAGGCACGGGCCGAGGGGGCGCCGCTCCCCGGGGGGCAGGTGCCCTCCACTGTCCCGCCAGCCCAGGCCCTCGCGCGGTCCTGGCACTTCCCTGGCTTCTCCTCCGACCAGCAGAAGGACCGGGACACGTGCTTCGGCTGCACACTCAACGCCCCCTCGGAAAGCATCCCATCGTTTCGCCGGCCGCGCGAGCACCCCGGCCTCCGAGCCGCCAGAGCTGCGCGGGCCGCATGCGGCCAGGGCGGCCCCACTTGGCCGCCGCCCGCTCCGCGGGAGCCCTGCCCCGGCCGCTGGGAACGGCTCCCGCGGCATCAGGCCGAGCGGGGGCAGCCCGCAGCCGGCAGGGCGCTCCCCCCACGAGGTCGCCCGCGGGCCCGCGAGGTCAGCCCCGCTCGAGCTCGGGGCCCTCCCGACGCCGAAGGCGCCGCGCTCGGCGCGCAGCCCCGGCTCGTGATCGACGGGAACCGGCGGCGCGCCCGGGCAGGTCTCCTCTGGGGCACGGGGTCTGGCCCGCCCGCTGGCGCCCATGCCTGCTGGGCACCGAAGAGGGGCTGCCGCCGCCCGAGGGCCCCCCGTGGTTCGCCGGGGACGGACAGGCTCGCCCGCACAGGCCGCGGACCTGCCCGCGCGGCCCCGCCGGACGACGCGCCAGCCGTCCTTCCCCACGCGAGCGCCTTCCCGCGCGGCGCGGCGCCGGCACTCACCCAGATTGACGAAGCTCATGACGGTGTCCGCGCCGTCGGCGGCGCTGCTCCGCGGAAGGCCGCGCGCCCAGGCCAGGCTCCAGGGGCCGCCCAGCTCGCCCTCGCGCTCGCCCTCGTCGTCCTGGCTGGCGGCGGCGCGGTACAGGTCCAGCATGAAGAGCGGCGCGGCAGAGGGCGGCTGCTGGCGGGCGGCGCCGGCGCCCGGCCGGGAGGGCGACGCGGGCCTCGCTCGGGGCCGCGGCCTGCCCGGAAGGCCCAGGAGCGCCAGGATCTCGCGCTGCATCTCCCGCTTCTCGCGCCCGCTGAGCCGGCGGTGGGGCGGCGGCGGCGGCTGCTGCTGGCGGCAGGAGGCGGCGCGGCTCGACGGCGCGCGAGCCCAGGGCTCTCCCACGAGCAGCAGCGCCAGCAGCAGCAGCAGCAGCAGCGCCGGGAGCGGGGCCGGCGTGACCCGCATCGCGCTCAGCGTAGCGCAGCCCGGCCAGGGCGCGGGCGAATCCGGCGCGCGCCGGCCGTCGGGCGGCCCTTTAAGCGGCGCGGGTGGGAGCACGTGCTGCGCTCGGCGGGCTGGGCGGCTGCTAGTCAGCTCCGGCCCTGCCCCCCGCGGATCGCGGCTGGACCTTGAACATGTGCAGAGTGCGAGCGAAGAGCGCGGGGGCGCCCTGCCGGCGGCGGGACTGCTGCGCGCGATGCCCGGGCGCCAGGCTTGCGACGGGGCGGCGGCGGCCCGGCGTGAGAGCGGAAGGCGCCCGACCCGCGCTCCGTGCCGGCACCTCCTGTGGCCGGGAAGCTTGCCGGGGCCGGGCCGATGCTCAGGGACGCTGGCTCTTGCCGTCCAGCATTGCGCGGGGGCTGCAGGTTGGGGAAGGCCGCCCGCAGCGCCTGGGGGAGGGGCTACGGGGGAGAGCGAGGCTTCCCGCAGGGCAGCTGCTTCTGCCCCGCTCCATTCCGCTGCTGGAGGCCACATCCTGCTGCGGCGCTTCCTCGCGCGCGCCCCATCCTGCGGCGGCCCGGGCAAGGGACGTGGAGCCCGCGCTCCGGGCAGAGCAGAGCCGTTGGCAGGCAGGCCTCCCGGGCTCCCGCCCCGTGCCCGGTGCCGGGGGGTTGCTTTCCTGCGCCCCGCAGGGTCTCCCTCCCACGGGCCCTCCTGCCCGTTCCCCTGCCTCCAGAGGCGCGGTTGCTGGGCGCATCGATGCGGACCCGCTGTCTCCGGAGGCTCCCCTGCCGTGCCTCTGCAGGCGGGCGGGCGGGCCGGCGGGCGGGCTTCGCTGGCTCTCCCCCGGAAGGCGGCCTGTGGCCGAAGGCGCATTTGACTGCCTGCAGGCTGTTTACTTTTTATTTCTTAAGCAAGCAAACAAGCAAAGGACCGGGACGTGATTTTGCTCCTTCCGCGGCCAGCTGCCTTGAGGGCCCTTTTTGAGGAAAGGCAGCGTGGAGCTTGAGCCGTGCAGTAAGTGGGCAGCTCAGCCCAGCCCAGCCCAGCCCTGCCCTGAGGGCGGCACGGCACGGCACGGCACGGCTCGGCGTGGTGGTCACCTCTTCCCCACCTGGGCCAGAACCAAGGCAGAGAGGTCCCACTGCGAGAGGCGGGTGGGCAGCCGAGCAGCTAGGGCACAGGGCAGGGTCCTGTGGCCTCAGCGGCCCCTTCCACCGCCGAGCGGTGGGGCTCCTGGGCTCAGAGGCCTCTGGAAGTGGGGCTCCTGGGCTCAGAGGCCTGTCCTCACGGGCAACGCTGGAGGAGCTCGCTGGGACCCCCGCGACGCCTGGCTGCCGGAGCACTGCCAACCGCCCTCTTGCTGGCAGGACACAGGCTGGCAGAGAGCGCACTGGGTGGGCAGGCAGGCAGGCAGCTGAGGAGCGCCGCATGTGCTGCGTGGCTGTGGCGTGGCGTGGCGTCTGGGCATGGGCATCCGTGGGCAGAGCCCCTTGCCCACATCAGTTTCAGGCCAGAGGCAAACACTTTGACAGGAGATTCAATTCTAGACCTTGTTGACAAACTGAAAATAAGCAAGAGTGCTTAAAGAACCGTGTGACGTGGCTCTTGAGGAGAAATGTGTAGCATGCCCCAAGACTGGCTTCCATGCCTGAGGAAAGGGGCCGATGTAGGTAGTGCTGAGTTATAAGAAGGGGCCCAGGAACAGTCCACACCTTGAAACAGGTGGTGGGAGGTTCGGGAAAAGCAAGGAATGGCTGCTTTGCATGGTGCAGAACTACATTGCGGATTGGCAACCACACACCACCAGCCTTGCTGAAGGGGCAGAAAAAATACTGGAAGAGAAGGCTGTACATGTTTACCAGTTACACTGGGTGAGAATTTTTTTGGTCTGGAGGATGGCCATCATCCCGGCATATCCCAGCCCTGAAGCCCTTCCCCCAGGGCTTCTTGTCCTGCTGCACGTACGCTCTGCTTTTCTCCACGCAGAGAGGCGTATAGAAGTCAGTACCTGTTTTTGTAGCCAGATTGAGATGGCAAGCTGTGTCTGAAGGGACCTCGCCAGCTCCTCCAAGCACCAGCCAGATCCTGCCCTGGAGTCAGCAGCGGCAATGCCCTGAAGATGGGGCAGGACCTGGGACCAGGGAGAGACCTCTGCAGGCTGGCCAGCTGCGCCCCTGAGAGGCGCCCTTCCCCTTGTGGGACCACATCTTGCCTGCCCATGACATGGAGACGTGCTGGACCTGACCGACCTTTGCTGTGATCCAGCTTCAGGGATACATATGTATTTCCCTGAAATATTAAGAGAAACGGTTGTTTAAAATGGAAGGGTTCTTGCCTTTTATGTCCACAAATACTTCAGCTTCTTTGCTTCTGGCTTTGATCTTGTACCGTCCGAGAATGCTGCCTTTGTGAAATTATGGATCAATGTTGTGCGTTAAAAAAGATCCACTTTCCTTTGATTTTTCAAAGACGCTGATGCCTTGTTGAGCCAGCAGCTCTTTCTGCATTCATCCTCTCCCACTATGCTGCATTTTCCAAAAGAAAGAGGCTCTCCAAGCAGCCGTGGCAGTCAAGCACCAGGCATTTTTTCTGAAAGCCATGCAGCTTGGCCATTTCCCCGATGTAACCCTGCTGAGGACATTCTCCGGCCTCTGAAGATGGGCAGGACTGAGCAGCGCTGGGGGAGCTGTCCTGCACTTTGCCCCTGCTGTGCAGCAGCCAGAGGGCCAGCTGCTTCCTGGGACTCGTGTTCATTAAGCGAGGACATGGCCAGTGCTCGGAACAGAACCCCTCGGGGCCATCCTGCACTTGTTCCTTCTCCCCGCTGCGTGGAGAGCTTTGGGTTTCAGTTCTCATCAGTCCTAACATCATGGCTGCTGGACAGGGATCCCGGGGACTGGATCGCACTGGGGTGGGAAGCCAGGCTTGCTGCGTTCAGTGGCGTTTCCGGCCAGCCAGGCAGCTGTATGCACAGGGAGTGCTTGCTCTGAGGGTGAACGCCAAAAGACTTCGGCCAAGCTCCACACCACATGGGAGAGCCCACAGCAGGGCTCTCACCCAGGTAGTCGCCATAGCAATCCAGGGGGCTGGGCTGGGCTGGGCTGGGCTGCCCGGCTGGCCGGCCTCCTCAGAGGAAAAGCGGCGGCACTGGCAACCGGACGGCCTGCCTTGCTCCCAAGGTCAGGCTCGGCTCAGGGGGCTTGAGGCACGCTGCAGGACTCCTGTGCTCCGCCCCGTCGAGGCCGTGAGCGCGTTACACAGACACTTGCTCCCTGCACCAGGGAACTCGTGGGCATTTTCCACGGTTGTGTCTCAGTGGTGCCCCCCCACACAACCCATCAAGGAACCATCACAGTGCAGATGTTGTAAAACACCTTTATTAGGAGCAACCAAAGTTATGTTCACAATATAGGATGCAAATTTGAGTTGTACAAAACTTCTCAAGTCTAGAGAGTAAAAAAAAAATTAAAGGGGGTTGTAGGAAGTGCTTGAGCAGGAAGTGGCACAAAGCCCATCTCAAGATGGCACAGAGGAAGGCCGCCTTGGCAGACGAAGTAGGGTAGAGCAACGCACTGCCCAAAGGCGCCGGTGCACAACGAAGAGGCTGGGGCATCGCAGTCAGAGGGGCCCTGCTGGACTGGACCAGCGAGTCGAGTCCGGCCTCCTCTTCGGCCAGGCAGGCAGCCAAGGTGGCTCACGAGGCAAGCGGACACCGCCCTCTCCCATGCCTGGTACTGAGAGGTACACTGTCCCTGGCCATGGGGGTTCCGCAGAGCCAGCACAACTAGTAGTCATCGAGAGCCGTCTGGCTCGTCCTTCTGAAGCTGGCCTGCTTCAAAAGGGACTGAGAGCAGCAGGCGCGACAGGTTGCGCAAAAGCCAGGAGCAAGCAGAGGACCTCCCTTGGTGAGAAGACGGTTGGCCACCTGCTAGTTGCCTGTGCTTGCCCGTGGGCGCTCCACTTCGCCATGGGGTGGTTTTGGAGCATGTAACCGTGGAGGAAGAATGGGGCTCGCTTTTCTGAGGGAGGAGCAGGCCCTGGAGGAGGGAAGCACGGACCATGCATCCTCTCCTCTCTAATTCAATGGTTGCCCGTGCAGCATAAAATTAGAGGCAAGTTTCCTTTTTATTATTACTGCAAGCAATTTTAATACAAAAAGTCTTCTGCTTTTTTAACAATTCATTGGTAGAGCTTCAGGATCTGGCTCATTTAAACCAGCTGAGAGAATCACACAGCAATATGGTCAGTCCAGGCAGGGAACGGGCGCATGTGGCAGGAAGACGCGGTTGCCCCAGCGATCTTCTTCACCACCCGTCCCCTCGCCAGCTTCGGTTCGGTCTCTTCCTTCCATAAAGGGAAAAGCGGGGGCACAGAACAGTGAGCGGGGGGGGGGGGCAGCACACGCACACACACTCACACACTCACACACACACACACACACACACACACACACACACACACACACACGGGCTGCTGGTGCTTCACGTTTGTATTCCGAGCAAGCAACTGTGCGTGTCGACGGCAGCTTTTCTTTTCCAGTGTGCAGCGTCTCCCACCAGTCAGGCTGGCCAGAAGTGGCATTAACCAGTTGAAATAATAAATAGGAAATGATGCAGTTAAATAGCAGTTCGTGAACTGAGAACTGATCTCACTTTCTGGTTTTGTTTTTTGAGCAGTGGCTGGGGAGGAAAACCAAGCTGGAGAAGCCCCCCTTTGACCTCCTGCTCAAAGGAGGCGTCACGTGTGTCCCCCCTCCCAAGACTCTTCCATGCCAGCAGCAAGGCATGGTCACCCTGGGAAGCACCGCATTCCTTGTTCGTTAAAAGCCCAGCAGCTGGCAGGGCTCCTGCCTTGCTAAACGCAGCATTTTTAGTGAACACTTTTATCTGAATGAAGCATGTGCAAATTTTATTTACTAATTCAAAGTCACTTCACCTTTTATCCTCCAGTAAAACCACAATGATTTCTTTTAAAAAACTGGAAACAAAAGCCCCAGATTCCCCGTAATGCAGGTTTCTCTCTTATTGAGGTATCCATGATTTACACAAAAAAGGAAAAAAAGATCCTTGAACACTGCTGGATATTCAGGTGTTGCTTTTAAATATAATTTACCTCGCTGAGACAGCAAGTTATGTTTTATAAAGATGCATTTAGGAAACAATCCTAAAAGATAAAGCAGGATTGTCTCCTGCACTGCACAGAAATCCTATTTATATATTTTTTTTGTTTTCTTGTTTTGTTTTTACATTTTCACATCTTGACCTTTTGCTTGCTTCTGTTTTCTCCCACATTTCATTCCCCCTCTGGGGCCTCCAACGCAAAGAAGGTCACCAGAAGGCAAGTTTTATCTACATAAATATTCACATGAAAATAGTAACTTACAAAAAAATAACAACAAAATAAGGCAGCTTCATAACACAGTTATTCTTTTACACTTTTAACAATATAATTTCTCCCATGTAGAATAAATATACATCCAATGTATGAAGCAGGATTAAAACCGGGACACAAGTTTTCCTTGAGTGGATGTGGATGTGGAATTATCTTTTGGGGCCTGGCGTCTTGGAGGGGGCAGGGCTCGCCTTCTTGGACATGGTGGGGATCTTGGAGGGCTTCGCCATGCCCCTTCGGGACGTGCTCTGCCCCCCAGTTGCGCTGCTTTCAGAGGTGTCTGAGCAGGCCGACTGCGTTTCCAGAAGGTCGAAGTCCGAGGCGTCACTGCCCCGCCGGCTGCTGGCTCGGCTCCCCGCCCGGCTCCCGGCCCGGCTCGTAGGACGACTGGCTGTTTTCTTGGGATCTGGGAATTGAAATTAAGCCGGACCATTCTAACCGCAGCGGAAACTCAGGAAAGGGGTTGAGGAGGGGCAGGGGCTGAGCACGTCTGTGGTCTAGTCGAAGCTGGGCTCGGGCACCCCGGCATCCCCTTGCTGCCGGCAGGTTTTGCCCACCCATGCTGCCTCCTCTCCGGCAGGCAAAGCCATGAGGCACAGGCGGGGGGACCCGCATGAGGGGCTGCCACTGCTTCCGACCCATGGGAGCCACAGGAGGGGGCGAGGGTTCCCCTCCTCAAGCCTCGCCTCGCCTCGCCTCCATGGGCTGGGCAGGATCGGCAAGTTGGAGCCCCCCACAGCCAGAGTCTCCACCTGCCCCTCGCTGCTGGCGCGCCACCCGGGCAGCCCTTTCCGCCCTTCTCCATCTCGTGTGCCGCCAGCAGCTGCACAGACTAGGCTGGTGACACCCGGGGGCCACAGGGGAACCGTTCGGCGCCATCCCTGCCTGTACCTCCCTTCAAGGGCCCCAAAGGGCAGCTGCAGAGGAGGGTTTCCACCAGAACAAGCCTTCTGGACTACAGCCCCCATCCTCCTCCACTACAGGCGCTGCTGGGCAGGGCTGCTGGGTGCTGCCCTCCACCAACATCTGCGTGGCCGTGCAGAGCGACCCCACGCGTGCCCTGCTTTAAACGTGCCCACAGGGGCTTTCCTCCCAGGCGTACGACTGAGCCTGGCAGAGTGCAAACTGCACAGGGAATAAAGAACGCGTGGAAAGCGCATCCCTCGCTGCCTGTGGCTTTTGGCCCCGCTGTGACGCAGAGTGCGTGCTGAGCAGGCCGGCCCTGGCAGGGTGCACACGCTTGTGCCTCGACAGTTGTGTTCACGTGGTGCGCCCCCCCCCCCCCGATGCAGACCCCGCTGGGCACTCACCGGCCCGATTGGTTTTGGCACCCGAAGAAGCAGGCGAAGAGCTGGTGCTGGTATCCGCAAGGGACGTGCGGCTCGAATGCAACGTGGGGCGCTTCAGCTTGCTGCTCGAGGATGGTGTGACCTTGGAACACAGCAAGTCGAGACCCTGAAAGGCGGAGTCGGCAGGGGTGGCCCGAGGGCCACAGGCAGGCCACTGGGCACCCCAGGCGGGCGCAGCGCCACAGTGCCAGGAGCCGTCCCTGCAGCACGTGCCTGGGCAGCGGCTGCCGCCCCAACAGTTCAAGTGGGAACACACCTTCCCAGGTCCCTGGGTGCCCCCCCGTGCCTGCCCCCCATCATCCCGGTGCCCATTCGGACTGGTGAGGCGCAACATGGTGAGCAGAGAGAGGCAGGTGGGGAGACAGGTGCCCTGGAAGCCCACCCTGGGCTGTGGCTCTGGCCCTCCTCCTTGCCAGGGGAGACGGGCTCCCAGGCCCATCCAAGTCAACACACTGCAGTCGAGAGGAGCAAGGGGGGATCTGCATGCGTCCCCTTTGGGAGGCTCTTGACCGAAGCCCCATGAAAGGAGTGGGCTTGGGGGCGGCCAGAGCCAGGGAGGGCAGCCAAGAGAAGGGCTCTGTCTATCATGGACATGGCAGCCGCAGCTCCCAGCAACTCCTTGCGCGGCACGGCGGGCGGGGGCCTGAGTGCTTGCCCGGCCACCTGGGGTCGAGGTCCCTCCACTCCCCAAGCGCTTCCCATCACCTGCAGCTGCTCTGCACGGCCACCTGTTTTCCTAGCGGACTGACGCAGGGACCGTCCCCCGGCTGGCCCACCTGCCCGCCCGCGAGAGCTTTAGCAGCCCAGGGCGGAGCTGCTTGTGTGCGCCAAGGCACAGCCAGGCCATTTCAAGGTCCCACCACAAGCCTCCTCTTTTGCTCTCTGCCCTTCTCGTCTCCCAGGGCATGTCGGCACGGCACTGCTGGATTACGCGGAGCACAGGCAGGTGTGCTCAGGGCTTCCAGGCAGGGGGCTGCTCCTGGCCAGCCCAAGGGCCTTCTACAGCCCTTCCTCTCCACTGGATTTTTTGTAGCAAGAAAAACCATGCAGAAGATGGTACAGAGGCAGAGCAAGGTTGCAAAGGGAAGGTGTTGCCTCAGCCCCGTCCAGTTCCACGGATGAGAAAGCACGATTGCCCAGCGCGGCCTTGTCAGGAAGCCTCCCTGGCCAGGCGCCTTTGGGCGGCTCCCCCGCATCCTTCCTCCAAGCCACCCAGAAGCTTCCCGATAATGTCAACCGAGCGACTGTGGCACCCTCCGCACCCTGAAGGGACACCGCATGCATGCACCGAGCTGTGGATTACGCCTGAAGCATCTTCCAAGGAGCAGGCCTCTCTCTGCGTGTTAGGAAACCCAGGGTGGGTCCCTGCGAAAATCGCCCCCATCCTAGCATGGCCACTGCGGGGGCGGGGGTGGGGGCGGGGCGGGGCGGGGGCCCTCTGGAGATGGGGGCAGCCCATGCAAGCCATACGCTACCTCCGGAGCGGGCAGGTGGAGATCAGCACTACCGTGGCCCCTCAAGGGGGAACCTGCCTTGCTGTTTACCAGCCAGGGCTTGTCATAACAACGGGTGAAGTGATGCAGAGTCTGTGAAATGAAGAGTCCAGAGAGAGTTGGGGAAAGGGGAAGGGGAGCGTATGGAAGAGGAAGGAAGTGTTCAGGATGGAAGGAAATAAAACAGAAAAGAGAAAATAAATTCTAAAATGAAAATAGAAAAGCCAAACTGAACAGATCGTGAAAACAAACTTAAGTTGACGCAATGAGATGAGACACAGAGGCGTACGGGTAGGTTTCTGTCCTGTGCCAGGGCCGGCATAACCCCGTTACTGGGCTAACAGCCGGAAAAAGGGGGTGGATGTCCCAGAAGCCACGAAGCACCAGAGAGAGCCTCCAACTAAAATGAGACACAGACCGGTACAGCTGGGTGGGCGAGGCGGGGCGGGGGGGGGGCGAGAACTCAGCCTTCACCTGCTCACTCTTCCTGCGCGCTTGGGCCAGCTTGTGGTAGCCACAGGGGAAAGCAAGAGTCTTGGAGGGAGCCAACGAGGGCGTGCTTGTCGCAGCCTGAACAAGCTTAGCTGGGCACGCCAAGGCCGGCTCACGTCTGGCAGCCAGTGCTGCGCGCAGGGACCCGCTGCGCCCCAGCCGGCTGCTCTGCAGGACGCCTCCCACGCCCAAGACTGTTGCTGGCCGCAGGGAGCCCACCACAGGCCTGACCTGCTGCCCGGGCTGCCTGCTGTCGCGGCTCCCAAAGAGGGCCCCGCTCCTCGTGCTCCGGCAAGAGTGCCTGTCTGGCAAAGGCTCCTCAGGCGGCGACAGTGGACCGCCACCTGCTGCGCCAGAGCCGGGCCCCACCTTGGTCCCGCTTGCCGGCGTGGCTGGCGAGGACGGCATGGAAGCGCAGCTGTGGTTGCTCTGGCTGGCGCTGGAGCTCGACCGGGTGGGGGAGGCCGCCCGCGAGGAAGGCTTGGACCTGCGGCCCCTGGAGCGGAACGGTGCCATTCCCTGAGAAGCCCCCTCGGGGAGGATGAATTTCTCTCGGAGCTCGAGGTTCGTTCTTCCTCTCGCTGTAAGAAAAGACAGAGAGCGGCGGCGGCGGCTGAGGGATCAAGCCAGGCGAGGCTGGGTCTGGGAAGCCAGTGGATGCCTTGGGAACCCTCATGCAGGCTCGCTTGGGCACGCCAGGGGTGCGACTTCCTTCAGCCTTGCCCGGGCAGCTCTCGCCAGATGGGAGGCCGCAGGGCCCTGACGATTCGCTATGCGTCCCTCAGAAGGGTCCCGAGGTGGACGGGGAAGCAGCTCACAGCCTGATGCGTGTTGCGAGCCGCTGCCACTGGCGCCAGCCTCACCATACCGGCCGCGACAGCCCGTTTGCGGTGTGCTCCGGCCTGCAGCAGGGTGGATGCAGGCAGAGCTTCAGGAGGCGCCGCCTTTACACAGACATGGGGGGGGGGCGGCCCCTCACTCGCTCCGCACAGCTGCTGCCACACCTGGAGGAACGGCGATGTGCCCCAGCACTGCACCTGGGGCAGCCTCCGAAGGGACAAGCAGCCTCCCTGCAGGAGGGGCCCGCTTCTGCTCCCTGCTCGGCACCAGAGGCCACTGGCCGAGGCTGCAGGAGCAGGTGCCCTTGATCAGGCCTCAGGCGAGCATCTTGCGCACAGGAACGGCACCTCTGACGAGGTCTGTGCGCCCGAGGCCCAGTGAAGCCTCCCTGGGAGCCGGGACACTGGGAGGATGTTGAAAAGAGCTGTGCTTCTTTTCCTCAGAATTGCCTCACTGATTCGGCAGAAAAGCACCGACCTGCTCTGCAGTCTCGGTGGGAGGGTGGGGAGCAAACCCGACAGACAGATGCACACCGCGAGGAGCAGTTTGGTTAAGTGCGCGAGAGCATGCAGCAGCGGGCCTTGCGGGGCCAGAGGGGAGGATGGGGGGTCACGCCTTCGCTGCCCGAGGCAAGTGAATCCATCTTGCCCAGAGTAACCTGGCAGTGGGATGGCGTTTGGCTGCCCTCTTTGTGTGGAAGTAGGCCGAGGATGGGAGACGCCACTGCCAGGGGCAACGGAGGGGCCGACCGAAATCCAAGCGGCTTCCCAGAATAGGGCTACATGCAGCAAACACCGCAGATGGGAAGGCAACGTCCTTCTGCAAGCCGTGGGCTCGGGGGAAAGGACTCTCCCAGGCCAGCAAGGGGGCCTGCTTCCAGCAGAGGACCAGACTGAAGGCCGCAGTGGGGGCTGCCCCGCCCGAGCCTCTCGCATCGCCAGGGAGGGCACTTCTACTGCAGAACTACCAAATCCATCAACTGCTTCTACAGGCAAAGGAGGAAGACCTCCTGGGGAGGACAAGGGCATGGGAGGCAGGTGGATGCCGGCTCCTTGCCCACTGCCCTGTTCCAGTGTGGGGAAATCCATGGGAACGAACCCTGAATGAGCCCTCGGGAGGTGGCTAGGAGAGCAGCTGGGCAGCTCTGCCCCAGTGCAGCAGGCAGGGCTGGACGAGGGCAGCGCCCCATGCTGACCCCAGGAGAAGGCACACTTGTTTCCGCATCTTTGCCGAAGCGGTGCTCAGGCCGGCAGTGCCGGGGCCTGGGGCAATGGTGCGGGGTGGGAGGAGGCAGGTTAGAGCAGCAAAGCCATTCCCAAGAGGAGAGTGAGATGAAGCCAAGGGCAACAACCAAAGCCAAGAAAAAAAGCCAACCTATCGGAGACTGACTGGCAATCGAGGAGCTGGAATCAGAGCGTTTTATTTTACTTCCAGGGTGGTGAACTGGAATAAAGAAAATATACACATACAAAGAAAAGACAGGGCAGGAGAACAAACAGCAGTGCGGGTCAGAGAGGAGGAGAAAGGCGCAAAGGCCCTGCGCGTGGCGTGTCGCTGCGGGTGGCAACGGAAGGTGTGCTGCAACCCAGGTCACAGAGCGTGGGAGCCGCTGGGGTTCCAGGGGAGCCGCCTCTTCCCCTGCCCCCCGGGACCGCATGGCAGAAGGGTGGCTGATAAGCGCGGTCTTCCGGGATCTGCTTGCTCGGTTCACATATCGCAACGGCCCACGCCCGATGAGGGTAATGAAGGGAATGGGACCACACGCAAATGCAGTCAGCAAGCTTATGAATCGTGCGGCTTGGACCTCTCCTCCCCATCTCTGCACAAAGCACGCCTCACCTACCCGTCCTCTTCCCTCACTGGTGTTTTTGCCGGCACCTTCGCACCCTGGGGAGTGCAGCTTGGCCTCGACTGGGCCAGCGCCCGACCCTCAGGCGTGCAGCAAAACTCTGAATGGTAACTTCTCCCACTAATTAATGCCAGGAAAAAGTCATCAGGAAGGTTTCCTGCGATAAGCAGGAGCTGCATCCCCTGCACTCCACGGCATCTGTCCCCTACCTGGTGGCTACTTGATCTCATGGTCAAGGGGGCTGATGTCAAAACTCTTTCCCAGGAATCTTGGGCTTTGGGAAGTTCAAGTTCACAACTGAAATGCAGCTATTTCTTACCTCTGCAAGGATCGTTTTTCACTAAAAACTCATCCAGGGCCATCCATCCTCCACCAACACGGACCATGACTGTGCTGCGCAGAATACGGACCAGGCGCAACTGCTGCGAATCACCAAACTGGAGGGAGGAGCAAATGGGTGGTTTAGAGGCACACGGAGAAAAGAGAACACGACATGATCAAAAGCACTTGCTCTTCTCCAAAAGAGACTGCAGCAGGACAAGCAAAACTTGTCTTTACCTGTGGCTCTTCCCTTAAGCTGCCCATAGAAAGCTTCGAAATAGAGCAGGCCCACTATATTGCATCATCAAAAATAAGATTAAAATTTAGGCGGCCGTATGTGCACCACTGCTGTGGCAAGAGTTCTGTGAGAAGCATGTTTTGCATGCAGGAAGTTCCAGATTCATTCCTTGGCAGGAGGGGACCCCCAGCAGGGGATAGGGAAGCCCTTCTCAGCTGGAGCTCCTGCCAGCTGAGCAGACAACACTGGACCAGGGCAGCATCTGGCCTGCAGGGTCACCAGGGATCGCTCCTGAAACGGAGCAGCCACGTCTTTGGGCTGATAATACCATTTCCGGTGGGGCAGATTGCAGTCCCCACTGCGGACCTCTGGGCACGTCTTTCAACGCATTAGCAAGGTTTCCGAGCAACTCGGGTTCACTGGCCTGCCAGTCCTGCCACAGTCTATTCTGAAGAGGGGCCAGCTGGAAATCACGGGAAGATCAGGGAAGCAATTCTCATCATGAAAGGCAGTGAAGCCCACCACCCTTTTACGGAGTCTGGAGCGAAGGCCCCGCGGAAGAGCAGCAGCCAGAAGGCAGCCCCAAGGATTGGAAACCCTGCAGAATTTACCAACTGCAGGGGGATCGTCAGTGATTTTGAAGCCATGATTAAATGGTCCCAACAGCCAAGCAGCACCTCCTTTCTCTCTGGGATGGGATGGGCAACCTACAGACCCCTGGGTGCTTTGGCCTGCAGCCTGCAGCCTGCATCAGACACAGCGCCACAAAGCCGGGGGTGGGGGCGATGGACTTGCAGCCACAAGATCTGGAGGGCCTCCGGCGGCCTGTCCCGGCCACTCACCTGCCCGCATCGGCATGTGCACTGCAAGCTTCTGGAGGGCCTCGTGGGTCAGCACTTTCTCACCCACGCACCCCCTGCAAGCCAGCTCACTCATGCTCACTTTACAGAGGAGACGCCAGACCCTTCTGGACCGCAGAAATCTTGGAGGTGGACCCACGCTTTGGCTCCTCGCCTCATTTATGAACAAGCGAGTTATTCCCTTGGATTTTTCTAACTGGTCTGGGAAAGTCAGATTTCTGTGAAGTCAGACTTTAATCAGGCAGGCCAAGTAACCGCCAGCTATGGCAGCTCCCCTCCCCAGCATAGTTGTGCAGGTAAGGCAAAGCGTTCCCATCATCGGGCGCAGCGCACAAGGCACGTCTGAAGATGCAGCCGGGCCGCCCCTGGGACCACAGGGGTTTTCTGAGCGCCAGCTCCAACACTGGATTGGACCAAGTGCCTGGCGCACCCTCCCCCGGCACAGCTGGTGAGCTGCTTTGAGGCTGAAGCAGGGGCCTCCGAGAAGCACTCCAAGGGACATGCCCCAGGCGGAGGGGAGAGGCGGGTACAATATGCCCCGGTGCCTCCCCCGCCTCCTCCCCCCCCCACTGCAAAGTGCAGGAGCCAGGTGGAGGCAGCCTTGCCACAAGCCCCCCTGCCCCTGCCTAGGCCACCTGTACCCCTCCAAGTCTGCAGGGTGACCAGCATCCCTGCAGTATTGCACCCTGCACCGATTTCTTCTGTGTTCCCCCATTTGATTTGAAATTAAGTTACAGAGAGTAAGAGGCACTTTTATCTTCTTGTAGCCTTGAGTAATTTAATAAGATCCATGCAGATGGATTGAAGAATAAGTGCTAATTATGGGGAAAAGCAATGAAAAATTAAGTGGAAGCCAACCAGATACTGGTATACAAAATACACTGTGCAAGTTTGAACTCTGTTCCATGAAAACAGAAATGGCACCTTCTGGAACACTTGGAGGTGATGTGCCCCGAGAACAAGGCTCTGGCCAGCATCTAGCCCCGAAGTCACAGCAGGAAGGCCAAGCGCATGGGGCTGCATGAGCTATCTGCCCCTTGGCCCCGAACAGCCACATGGGCCATTTCCACCGTGATACGAGAGATCACGGATGCAGGGCAGTTTGCCAAGCGCGCTGTCTGACCGGCAGTTCACTTGTTCCACACACGTGTGTGTGTCCTGTGGCATGACGCTGGGCGTTTCATTTTGGCAAGCAGTGGCAGTAAATCCGTTGGCTTCCGGGCACTCAATCATAAAGATTTCAGACTATCAGTTTCCCTCTTCAGAACCATCTGGTGCGTCCAGAAATCACGGGATGGAGCACAGACAGCTGCAGGGGCTCCAGCATCCACTCTCTGAATTAGACTCCTCCCTGCACCACTGCAGGCACATGGGATGAGGAAACAACTACGGAGTCAAACGCTGCACAGGCTCTATGCACATTACTTCTTGCACTGACTGTTTGACAGCTGCTGAAAGGCCCTCCAAAGTACTGGAGGTGCTCTCAGTGGTTCACTATCTCATTTCCTTTTTTTTAAAAAAATGTGCCCCACATACGATTAACAACTTTGTTAATTTTCTCCTGGCTTATTTCAGTGAGAGTGTGCGAGTCTGGAGATGCAGCTGCGTGAAATTTCATGGGTACAAAAATGTGAAGCCTCACCTGGATTGAGGTGGGGATTTTGCTTGTTACTGGTGGCTGTACAAAGGTGAGTTGTCAGCTCAAAGCAAAGAAGCTTTGTATGCAAAAAAGGGTGGAGGGGCGCCCCCACCCCGTGCCGGCACTGGGATGCACAGGGATTCTTGTGTTCACCTCGACCGGTTCCTAGCTGTGCCAGCCATTCCCAAGGTTCTAGGTGTTTGGAAAGGTGGAAAAGTACAGCTCCCCCTCTCACTGGAGCAGAGAAGGGCTCACTGTTGAAGCGCCAGTTCCTTTGCAAAGCCATTTCTTTGGCAGGGGTCCCCACGGTTACTTCACAGGGAAATGAATGCACACCTGGGTCTCCTTGGAAAAACACCTGGGGCACTGCACACCTTTTGAAAGGAGGCAGAGCTTTGGGCACTGGCTGCGGCTCAGGCGAGCTTGGCCAGAGACCTTCGGGTGCTCTCGTCAGGGTCCCGCTCCCCAGGTGGCCAGCCCACCACAGGCGAAACTCGCTCTGCTACAGGCCAGGGGTCCCGAGGGCGGCCTGCTGTTGGCCATGCACCCCAAACACAGGGCTTGAGGAAAGCAGGCCAGGCTCAGACCAGCCCCCGTGGCTTGCTGCCCAGGCCAGGCTGCTGCGACTGGCGAGTCCGGGCTCCGCCTTAAGGCGCGCACTTGCTGACCGGTGAATCATTGTATACCAGAATCTTCTCTGAGTTAATGCATCCAAGCTCTCCTTACAGCATTCACATGAGCACAACAAACCACAACAGTGCAAAGACTGGCTTGTACACAGACAATGTGTGTGCTTCTTTTGAGGAAAACAGGCTATGAAAGGACACAAGAGAAGCACTGCAAGGCACACGGTACCTGGTTGCCGAGGAAGAACTACGAAGAAGGAGGTGCAAAAGGGAGGGAGGGAGGGAGGGAGAATAAGATGGGGAGAGAAAACATGGTAGAGAATTAACAGTGCAGTAACCGCTGGCAAATGTCTTGCTAACTGACTTTACCGCACTTGACACGCTAAGCCACACCGTTCGCTCTGCCCCCCCCTTTTAAAAATGCAAGCAAAAGATGCTGCCCCCTTGAGCGGGGTGACAGACAGCCCTGGAGGGAATGGCGCACCAGCCCTGGAGGTCTGCTGGTGGGTGCCCGACTCGGGCCAGCTCAGGGCATTTCGCCACCGGGCCATGGGCCGCCTTGCGTGGCTGGGCAGGTCAGGAGACCCGGGAAGAAATCCAGCCACCTGATGCTCACGGAACGGCACGTCCAGCCTGCTGCCAAGAACAGGCTCGGAAAACATGGGCGACGCAGAGGGCACGCCTGCGGGCATTTCAGAGGCAGGGCACTCCAAGCGGGCAGCAGGGCAACCCAGGCTGAATGCGCTCCCTTTGCCGCACAGCCCAGAGGCGGCGGCAGCCCCGGGCAAGGCCACGGCCCCTCTGTCCCGGCGGCCGCCATCTGAAGGGCCCCGGGCTGGGCAGAGGGAGCAGATGTGGAGCGGCGAGAGCAAGGCTCCTCGGCCCCAAGGGGCCTCCGCAAAGGGCTCGCCTCCCGCAAGGGCCGTGCCCGCCCCGCCCCCCCACCGGGCGCACTTTTGCCCAGGGTGCGGCTGGCCTTCCGCGAGGCGGGGGTGCGGCCGAGGGACGGCAGGTGTCCACAGGGGCTCGGGGGATGCTGGGGGGCCAGCGCGGCAACGGAAGCTCTCCCGCCTTACCCGGTACTTGTTCTCCCCGATCTGCTCCACCTGGAACCTCTTGGCGCATTTACACTGTGCCACTTGCCGTGTCACCTGCGGGACGGGAGAAGGAGAGGCCTGTGGTTACTCGGGGTGCCAAAGCCCATGCTGCACGGCAGGTCTCTGCCTGGTCCGAAGCGTGTCTCTCCTGCAAGGACGCGGTGCCCACAAAGCAGCCCTCACCCCGCCGGGGTAGAAGGGGCTGCACTTTTGCGATACGGCCCCACCCGAGTACCCGCAGCCCTGCCAGGTGGGGAGGTGGGGACCGAACCCAGGATCCCGCAAGACCGAGCCTGGTGCACTGCCCTGCCTTGCCAGAAGGTTCTCAACCCTTCTCTGCTATGGATGTGAAACTCTGGCCGTGCCCTTGGTCCTGGTTTTTATTGCATGGATGGGGTGGGGGCCCCCTGGACAACGTGCGGCCCATGTTCACTCTCGCTACCCCTGACGTAGCACTCATCTTTCTCTTACAGTCATCAAGTCCATTCAGGTTAAAACGGAAAATGCAAACAGCAGGACAAAAATGCACCATTTCTCCGGCTTGGCCAGGAACGTCGCATGTTTCCACGCCCGCGACTCCACCGGGCACACAAAGCTTGCCAGGGGATGCTGAGCAGGGCCACATCTCAGTGCCCATATAATGCAGGCAGAAGCCCAGAGGTGGCAATGGAGCCAAGGGGCACCAGCTAGTGAGGAAGGCTGTCGTTCTTTGCCAAGACGTGCCCCTCTTGGGGGACCAGGCCACTGTGCCAAGGAAGGGGGGCAGCCACCATGCTGGCGCGGAGCTGGAGGATGCTGCAGTGCCCCCGGAGGCAAGGGGGCTCGGCTTAGCCAGTGCCAGCCCTCCCCAGCTGCCCAGGCCCGTCAAAGCCCTTGCCTCATCCTCAATTTTGTCTGCGTCCGTGGTTGGCCGGTAAGCATCCTTGTTGGGGTGCAGAGCGGCAACGAATTCGTAGTAGTCAATGTAACCATCCCCGTCACGGTCAAAGATGTCGGCAACCGCAGTCATCTCCAGCTTCGTGGTGGGGAATTCTGAGGGAGAGAGAAGCAGTGAGCCACGTCCCCCTTCCCGCTCTCGAGGCCGGCTCTGCCCAAGCTGCTGCACCACTCCCAATCCGCTCACCTTTCCCGGAGGTGCCTCTCCAACAAGGAAGCCCAGAGGCCTACCTCCAGCCAGCCCCCAGCATCAGAAGCGGGCAGGGAGAGGCGCTTCCAGCAGAGGGCCACAGAGGCTGCTGGCCCTTCCCTTAAAGAAAACATGCTCGAAGGAGCTGGCCTTCATTATCACAGAGAGGGGCTTCCTTTTAGTAAGGGGTGAACAGCTGCTTTCTCCCCACCCCTCCTGATCAGCATCCTGCTGGCCTTGCTCCCTCTGAGTGACACCAGGTGTCCGACAGAGCGGGGCCTCTTCGGTTGCAGCTCCCAGGCTCAGAATACCCTCCCACAGGGAGACCTTCCTGGCTCGATCATGGGTTGCTTTTCAAAGGACAGTCAAGATGTCTTTGCTTCAGCAGACAGTTTTCTCTTAAGCAAATTACTGTTTCACTCTGCAGCTCCTGGCATGGCTTATGTTTTTATGAAGTGCTCAGAAAACTGGGAAGAGTTCAGAGGAGAGCAATGAAGATGACTGGGGACTGGAAACAAAGCCCTATGAGGAGAGATTAAGCGAACTGGGTAACTTTAGCTTCCAGAAAAGAAGACTGAAGGGCGACATGGTAGCGCTTTTCAAATACTTGAATGGCAGCCACAAAGAGAAGGACCGAGATCTCTTCTCAGTCATTCCAGAGTACAGAACATGGAAAAACAGGCTTAAGCTAGAGGAAGCCATGTTCCGGGTGGACATCAGGGGAAACATCCTGCCTGTGAGAACAGTACAGCAATGGAGCCCGTGACCTGGGGAGGTGGTGGGCGCTCCCACACTGGAGGCGTTCGAGAGGCAGCTGGGCGGCCCTCTGAGGGGGTGGTTTAGCCGGGAGTCCTGCACTGAGCAGGGGGACCTTGGACCCGATGGCCTCACGGGCCCTTTCCAGCTCTGCTGTTCTAGGATTCTGCGATGCTATGAATCTGAGTATGATCCAGTGCGGGTGCCAGTGGCCAGAACTGCCATGCTAAGGAAAGGGCGCAGGTGACAGAAATGGACTCCTGGCTATCACCACCACCCACGCCTACGGAGCTGCTTCGCTATCCCTTCACTGTGAGGAGAGCCACAGCCTGCGAGCTCACTGAAACAGCCTGAACACGCCTCCGCGAGCCAAGAAAAACAGTCCACTCAAGTGCGAGGCCAGTCCAGCCACCGCCTCACTCTCTTTGGGGACAGAAATGGCGGAAGAAACACGGAGGAGAGCGAGAGAGGCATGGGCTGGCCGTCTCTGCCCCACTGCCGTGGGGCAACAGTCTCATGCTCACCAGGGCTGCTCAACTGCGGAGACAAGCGCTGGCACTCCACACACACATATCCCTGCACTGAGAGGACAGGGAGAGGGTCCCTGGCCAGGCTCTTAGAGCGGGAATGCTGGTTTGGGCCTGCTGAGCAAACTTCCCCTCCTGCTGCTCAGCCCGGCCCGGCAAGAGCAGTGGGAAGCGCTGCGACGGCTCGAAGAAGCGACACTCACTGGAGGCCAAGATCCCATCAATGAACTCCTGCCGGGTAATTTTGCCGTCCTGGTCTTTGTCGATCCTCCGGAAAAAGTCCATCACTCGTGATTTCTTGTGGTTCATCCAGCGCATGTACTTCTTCCTCCACACGTCAAAGTCAAAGTTTGCAAACTCCTTTAACTGGGGTGTGGTGGAGAGGGGAGAACAGAGTGAGAGAGGAGGTGTTTTGCGTCTTACTTAGAAAGGATGTCCCTAAAAGAAAATGCTAGTGCTTAAGATGTTCGTGGCAGCAAGTCTTGCTGCTCCAAGTGCCAGTTTTGCTCAGGGCTGGAAGGCATGGTGGGAGGGTTCGGATGTGAGCAGAACAAAAACGCACGCTTCTGCTTTGGATACTGCTGCTTTCCCTCCATTCCTAAAACCTTTACAATGATGTTGAATTGTTTGGTGAAGGGCAACAAAAGAAAACACAACTAATCCTTCCGGCTTGCATCTCGTGCAGGGCAAGGGGTCACAAACGAGCTCACTCACACCTTTAAAAAAGCAGTGTTCAGGGGAACAGAAAAAGCATCCAGGAGAATCCTGGCTTGATGATGCTTTGCTCTGGCCTACATGGCAGCAGGGTATGTGGGCTGACCCTGCAAACCCAGCCCGCAAGGCCAGGACACCGGAGACAGGGAAGCGGGAGCGCTCAAGGCTGCTGCGACCGCCAGGAAAGCGGCAAGGCTGGACGCAGTGCAGAGGGCCGAGACTAAACGGCACTCATCCTGCCTCAGCGCTCGAGCACGCATCTGCCTCCCTTCTTGCCAAGTGGACCATGAAGGCAGCCTTCAGGGCTTTTCCCTAAAAGAGCACGGCCATTGCCAAGGGACACAGAAAGTTGTGGCTCCCACAGCCTGAAGCGGGCCTGGGCACTCATTCCCACTCTTGCGGTACAGCCAAGACAGCCTGGAGCTTTTGTGACACAACATAGAAACACAGGAACCGAGTGAGCCAGAAGGGGTCTCCCGGGCCATCTAGTCTGACCCCAGTTCCAGCTGGCTCCACACATGACGTACCCACCATGTGCATGACCGGCCCGTTCGTGGACACACTCACCCTCCGTGGGAGCCCCTTCTACACCTAAAGGCCACCGGGGGCCCGCAGCCTGGCAGAAGCCCTTTGCCCACATGCTCCAAACAGGAGCCCTGCCTCCTGGGAAGGCCAATGCGCAAAGCGTTCCCCTGTGCGTGTGCAGAGGGCCCAGAGGGAGAGTCATTACCTCTTCCAGCCTATCCAGGGCATCGTTGAGCTTGCGTTGCCGCTCCAGTGCCAGCAGCCAAACCTGCTGCCAGCGCGCAGACAGCTGGTTGATGCGTGGGTTCTTTGCTTCCGACTGGGAGAGGACAGGCATGGGGGGAGGGGCCGCCTGGCTCGGGGGCTTTCCTTGGAACAAAGAAGAGGCAGAGTAACGGCCACGGCACATGAAGGGAGGCGGTGCCCGAAAGGAGGACGCACAGAGCCGAGCGCCACGCTCCCCTTCTGCAGGCGGTTGAGTTAAACCGGGCCCATTTGCAGACACTGAAGCAGAGACGGGAAATGCAGGATGCGCTGGGATCTGCAGAAAGCTATCCCAGCCCTCAGTTTCAGCTGGGGTGGGGGCTACCTGTGCACAGTTGCTCAGGCCTTGGTTTTGTGGGCCTTGCTCTGGAACAGGCAAATGATAATAAAGATGGGAGTGCCCCTGAGCATGTACAAACTACACATATTGTATTCTTGAGTAAACCCAGGCTCCAGTCCTCAGAAAACTGGAACTACGGTAAAAGGCCCAGGAAAAGGGGTGTGGCCCCCAGGCAGGCTTCCAGCAACCCGGTCGCACCTCCACCCCACCCCACCCCACCCCAGACGTACGACTGCTGCGGGACTTCTCGATGAAAGGGCCGTGGGGTGGCTCAGTGGCTTTTCTCTTGTAGGTTTTCGTGACCCGGTCCACGTCCGGCTGCTTCCTGGTCATTTCTTCCATGAAGGACTGGAAAATGCAACAAGGAGGGCAATGGGGTGTGGGGGAGGCCAAGCCAAGACATTTCTTTCTGTCACTCCACGGCTAGGGTTGTGCTTTTCCTAAGTGTGAAGCTGTGCTTTACCCCAACCAGTCAGACCTCCTCTCATACTCCATTTTTGGGGGACTGCAAAAATTTCTCCAGCCACCCTCTAGACCTCTCTTGGAGCTCATCCTTGCAGCTGCTTGTGGGTGAAGAAGCTTGACTGCAACCCCGCAGCCCTGAAGTAAATGCTGACATGCCTGGGAAGCCAATATTTGCCCTGAATGCCAGTCGGTGCTCACCTCACCTCACCATGCCACGTGCCCTGAGGAAGTGGCCCAGGGCAACAGGCGCCAAAAGGAAGGGGCAGGGGGGCTGGGTTCCAGATCAGCCCGCTTAATGTGGCTCTCCCAGCGGGGCCTGCCTGCAGCCCCCTCTTTAAGCCAAAGTGAGGTCTGGGGGCATAAGAGGCTACCTGCAGGTCAGCTCCTCAGGCAGCCAGGCACTGTTCCTCAGGGAGCGAGGGGGGCAAGAGACAGAGGTGCACGGTTACCTGGTGCTCGGCAATCAGTGCCTTGACCTGCTCAATGTTCTGCGGCACGGGCTCCTGGTCCCGCTGGATCAGCGTCGTCTCGGCCCACTGAAGCCAGGCCAGCAGCTCTTCCAAGAGCTCAGCATTGGCCACCAGTTCGGACAGGGCCACCTCAAGCCGCTGCTGGTGCTGCTTCGCCCAGGTGAGAACCTGCCAGAGAACGAGGCCGTGAAGGCTCACGGCAAAATGTCTGCACGCACTGAGGAGGGAAGGCAGGCTGCCCCAAGGTTGCTGAATGCCAGTGCTGGGCGCATCTTCGCTTTTAAATGAAAATGGCCCTAAAAGGTAGTTCTAGACTTGCGGGGAAAGGAAGTCAACTTGAACAAACCAGCACAGCTCCTGGTGTCAAAATAAAAATCCTCTACCCCAGTGTCTCGCCAACCACAGTGCATTTTTATATTCCAAGGGTGGATCAACTTGCAGATATCTGAGCAATTTGCAAGAGGTTAATTCACGATTAATTGAGATGACCATCTTGCTCTGAATCAGAATCCCTGAGCTGTACCAACTCAGATGCAAATCGGTGTTTCTGTGTGCAGGCCACCCCAATGGGGCTCAATAAATAACTGGGCCTCCGCACCGCACCACCATGTTGCTTTGGCGTTCAGTTGGTGGGGGATCCTAGTAAAAAGCAAAGCAGACCTGGCAAGCTGGAAGCCCACCTTCCGCTGCCTTGCCCTTCAGCCAGCCCTTCCCTCACAGCAGCCAGAGCACATGTGCCATTTCCATAACACCGCAGGGGCTCAAGCAATGAGGGAGAGGGGCGGGATCACAGGCGGCTTTGTCCTTTGATCTTTACAGGTTCTTAAGCCCTTGAACCCCTTCATGGATCACTGTCTTGTCATGGCGAAGGGGCTTGTGTAGCGCAATGAAGCTATGAGCTATGGTAGGCAGGGGCACCCAAGACGGACAGGTCAAAGCAGAGAGCTCTGACAGGGTGATCCACTGGAGAAGGAAATGGCAACCCACTCCAGTGTCTTTGCCATGAAATTCCATGGACTGTTCTAAAGGGCAAAATGATATGACCCCGGAAGATGAGCCCCTCAGGCTGGAAGGTGTCCAATGTGCTACTGGGGAAGAGCAGAGGGCTAGTACTAGTAGCTCCAGAAAGAATGAAGCAACTGGGACAAAGCCGAAAGGACACTCAGTTGCTGATGTATCTGGTGGTGAAAGGAGAGTCCGATGCTGCAAAGATCTGTACTCCATAGGAACCTGGAATGTAAGATCCATGAATCAAGGGAAGCTGGATGTGGTCAAACAAGAGGTGACAAGACTGAACATCAACATCTTAGGAATCAGTGAACTAAAATGGACAGGAATGGGTGAATGTAATTCAGATGACCATCAGGTATACTACTGCGGGCAAGAATCCCTCAGAAGAAATGGAGAAGCCTTCATGGTCAATAAAAGAGTAGGAAAAGCAGTACTGGGATACAATCTCCAAAATGACAGAATGATCACAGTTCTAATTCAAGGCAAACCTTTCAACATCACAGTAGTCCAAGTCTATGCCCCAACCACTGGTGCTGAAGAGGCTGAAGCTGACTGGTTCTACGAAGGCCTACAACACCTTCTAGAAATAACACTAAAAAATGATTTCCGTATCATCATGGGGGATTGGAATGCTAAAGTAGGAAGCCAAACGATAATCAGAATAACAGGCAAGTTTGGCCTTGGGGGTACAAAATGAAGCAGGACAAAGGCTGGCAGAATTTTGTCAAGAGAAAATGCTGGTCATAGCAAACACTCTTTTCCAACAACCCAAGAGATGACTCTACACATGGACATCACCAGAAGGTCAACACAGAAATCAGACTGACTATGTGCTCTGCAACCAAAGATGGAGAAGCTCTATACAGTCAGTAAAAACTAGGCCAGGAGCTGACTGTGGCTCAGATCATGAGCTTCTTGTTGCAGAATTTAGGCTTAAATTGAAGAAACTAGGGAAAAGCACTAGGCCACTCAGGTATGACCTAAATCATATTCCTGATGAATATACAATAGAGGTGACAAACAGATTTAAGGAATTAGATCTGACAGACAGAATGCCTGAAGAACTATGGATGGAAGTATGCAACATTGTACAAGAGGTAGCAACTAAAACCATCCCAAAGAAAAAGAAATGCAAGAAAGCAAAATGGCTGTCTGAGGAAGCTTTACAAATAGCTGAGGAAAGAAGGGAAGTGAAAGGCAAGGCAGAAAAGGAAAGATACACCCAACTGAATGCAGAATTCCAGAGAATAGCTAGAAGAGATAAGAATGCCTTCTTAAATGAACAGTGCAAAGAAATAGAAGAAAGCAATAGAATAGGGAAGACCAGAGATCTCTTCAAGAAAATTGGAGATATGAAGGAAACGTTTCTTGCAAAGATGGGCATAATAAAGGACCAAAATGGCAGGGACCTAACAGAGGCAGAAGAGATTAAGAAGAGGTGGCAAGATTACACAGAAGAACTATACCAGAAAGACTTTAACGTCCCTGATAACCACGATGGGCTGGTCACTGACCTCGAGCCAGACATCCTGGAATGTGAAGTCAAATGGGTCTTAGGAAGTCTGAGCAACAACAAAGCTTGTGGAGGACACAGTATTCCAGCTGAGCTATTCAAAATCCTAAAAGATGATGCAGTAAAAGTGCTACACTCAATATGCCAGCAAATTTGGAAAACTCAACAGTGGCCACAGGATTGGAAAAGGTCAGTTTACATTCCGATCCCAAAGAAGGGTAATGCCAAAGAATGTTCAAACTACCACACCA